TACCAAGTCTTGCCCTCTCTGAGGGTGGCACCCATTTGGAGAGAAGGGTGTGAACGGAAGGTAAGAGGCAACCTTGACAGACACCCATGCCTACTCTGCAAACGTATACGGCGCTAATGCCGCAAAAATGGGCAGCTACGTGCATCAATAAACTAAATATACCACAAAAGAACATTCCCAAACTGAGAAGCTTTTGAGTACTCCAAATAGTGGTGATGTAACCTGATGGTATCTGCATTACTGTGTAACCCCAGAAAAACGAACTGAGGATTCTTGACCTTTGTGCTGGGTCCCATCCATAATCCTAAACGGATTAAAAGATCTTTAATATTTAACATTTACGAATCATTGTTATATATATTATACTTTGAAATGAGTCAGAATTAACATACACACTTATTGTTAGGGATGTAACATTTTATCTAATCTTGTGTTGACTAAATAAAAGTTCAAAGTAATATTTAATTATTTATATAAAATACTATAGAGGCATCTAATACAAGAGATTCATACCTCAATGTTTGGATTTGCTGTAGTAGCGTTTGCCATTGCCACGACAGCCACTGACATTCCCACTCTAAGGAAATATCCGATGACCATGGCTAAGAAAAGTAGAAGGACTTGCAAATGTCTAATCCCCAGTTTACCTGAAATGTACATATATTATATATCGAGCTCGCGCGCGTACGCACACCGCACACACACATACACACACGCTCATACACTCAGTAAATGAAAGTAATGTTCATCTTGATTTTACAACTGATAAATTCTTGTCCTTTTATTCTTCCTTTTACGGATTCGCGAGACACTTATTTAAGAATATTTTCACACACTTATTCCATTTTATCAAATAGATCGCGTAATGATAATTTAAAAAATGAAAAAAATAAATTGTTATATCAAAACTATTTTAACATATAACTTTTATAAATGGGAATAATATTTTTTTCTTATTCGATAACATTTGACGTCTTTGCATTTATTTATAAAATCATTTAACTCTATATATACTCACGTAGTAGACGCGTGAAATTTTGAACAAATGCATTTATTACAAATTTTCTTTTTATGTATAGAGATTTAAAATAAGAATTTACTAAAAGAAAAATAATATACGTATTACATATAAAAGAATATCTCGTGTGTGTGTGTGTGTGTGTTTGTGTGACTTTATGTAATTCAAAGTTTTGTCGCGATCGAAAAAAAAGATAAAAATAAAAAAGAAGTCAAAGTAGATATACACTTAAAAAGAAGAATACGGTATAGTACATGTATAATTAAAATTTTTCTCGTTATCTTGTCTTTCAATTAAAATATTATCTAAATATTCTACAATCGTATATATTAAATTATTATCATACATAGATTAATCAACATTTGTGATAATCAAGACGATGACTTTTTTGACTGATATATTTAAATCGAATAAATGATTCGAGATTATGTATATATAAATTAAATCTGGATAAAAAAGTATAGAGTAAAGGTACAAATTTGTTGATTAAATGTTTCTTGAATAATTCCAAAAAAAAAATAAATAAAACAAAGAAACGTAAAGTAATTCATTAGTATTTTTTGATAATATTTAAAAATAAACATTACCAAAAATTATCTACATAATTATACACTTTAAAGTGAATTATTATACACTTTAACTTGACTAACGATATGAAATCGATTGTTTTTTTGTTACAATGTATCACCAAACTTTTCGCGGCAGAAGGAAAATTATACGCGAAATTTGAATGTTGCAGCACTTGATAATTTTTCGTAAAAATCATTTCCAATGCACACAATGATCCTACACAATTATAAAAAATAATAATGATGATGATGATAATCATGATGATGATGATGATGATGATGATGATGATGATGTTAATAACAACGATGAGGATGTTGACGATGAATGAATCTACCTGGCGACACGTTGTTTGTTGCATCGTCGCTATCACTACCTTCCACTTTGCTAGCTGTCATTGTTACTACACAGTGTACACAGTTATAAAAACGTTAATCGTTCATACGGACATATTTATATCGAGATCCCCACCGAATTACAAGACACCACGCCCCTCTTCTATTTTTCTTTTAATTCTTCTAGTTTGTAATTACAAACTTGTAGAATGCGATTAGCAGCGAATGAACGACAACGTAAATATGTATGTATATTTATATGTTCTCTGAGACATGCGATATATATCTTTCTCTCTTAGAAAAATGATATATCGATAGAGCCAATTGTACAAGGATATACAAGGTAAGACATTTAAATTGGAACACATATCTTGCTTATAGAAATTCTAAGAACAAAATTAGTTTTTAAGTAATTTTTTATATTTTTCATAATCATTTTTAAATATGATTTCAATAGATTTCGATATATCGAAAATCGTATTATATTTTAAAGAAATATTTTCATTTTAAATATTTGCTAATAAATCGTGTATATATTTAAAATATATTAAGAGGAATAATAAATAAATAAATATAATAATAATAATAAAATAATATGATATTTATTATAATCAATATTTAAATTTAAAACATTTCTTAAAAGAATAATTTTTTTTGAAAGATTCGATAGATCGAACTTTATCGATTACTGCGTAAAAAATCTATTTGATTCCGTTATAAAATAAATAATGATTGATTCGAAATCTATTTAAAAAGAAAAGATGACTTTTGAACAATAATTTATCAATTTATCAATCAAATCAAGAAGAAATAATGAAGAAATATAGGTGTTTCGATTTAAATGATCTATCCTGTGTATAATCCGATAATGTTTTATTGACTAATGTTTTATCAATAAATACACTCAATGATCTACGTTGAAAAATAATGTGATTGCATTCAATCTTGAAGTGGATACTAATGCTTTTTACGATGAAAACTAAGTATCTTCAACTATTTTTTTCTATCACATAATAAATCTTGATTTTATTATTTTTCATTCTTACTGTGATTAGATTTTTACGTATACTCGTGAAAAAAGATATCTAGAATAATATGTTGTTTTTTTTGTGTGTAATAACAAAATGTTTTTTCAAGCTTCGTCATTTTACTTGTTACATGAAATGTATGACATTACTATTATAGTTATATAGATTTTTTTTTTTTTTCTAAGAATTGGTGGAAAAGATACAGTAAGAGAGACACCAAAGTACACTCTCTTCTCTTATCCCCACTTTTAGGACTCTTCAAGATTGTAGAGATAGAATCTTGTGACATGATTTCAAATTGACAATAAACGCACTTGTGTTCACGGTCAACTATGGATTAAAAAAAAAAAAAAAAAAAAAAAAAAGAACACTTGAACGTTTACGCCAATGCTTTATTTATCATTCTGTTTCATGTTTTTGTTCACTTAACCTGTCAAAATTTACTACCGGCCACTTGTTCCCCCACCCCACAGTTCTTTGCAAAGGAGGAGGGGCGGCTAAGTTTTAAATCACTTATTGTTTTTCAACCTGATAATCTTTCTATTTTGTTTGTTTTTTTTATTTAGTCATCGAGTTTTATTTGATCGGTGTCGATGATGTGCAACTCGCCTGATGTAAGATGTGGTTGTATACAGCTTGCAAAGGAAAAAGGTTGAGTACCCCTGCTCTGTATTATTCAATTTTGACTTGTTCTATTTTTTATATCGAAATTATTAGTAAAGTTACATCACAAAAGTGTGTGATATAAAATTGAATTAGAATAATAGGACGACAAAAACCTATTATTCAATTTTTAATTAATCAAACCCGCATTTTTTTTGCAGACCGATTCTTGACTAAAGTTTTTTTTTTATTGTTACATTATTTTCGTGCAAAAAAGAAATATTGTCTATAATTACAATAATTATTCCTTTTACGCGGATTCATACGTTTAAAGTGTTTATGTTAGTTATCACTCTCAAGATATGTGTTAATACGATACGTTATATAAAAACGCAAATTTGGGGATTCCTTAGTGTCATTTATTTTATAATCGTGTAAATTTATTTCTCTGGTTCAATAAGAACTAAATACTTAATTGAAAATATGAAATGTATCCTTATTTTAAACAACTTTTCATGGTAATATTTACGCAGTTTTCCATTTACTTGTTATGTTCGTTAAATAGAGGATTTATTTATTGTATATCTTATCGTATCCCTTATAGACAATTTTTTAATCTTTGCAAATGTTATTGATCGTAGAAATGATTACTGAATTGTGCGATAACATTAATCCCTTTATATTTTTATACAAAATATTAATATTTTTTTTTATAAAGGTTATTACAGGATGTACAAAAAAAACACACCAATATATTAGTAGTACGAATATAATTATGTGTATTTAGATTTATAAGTATATAAAAGAATATTTCTCATGTTGATATATCATTTCGTACGGTTCTATTATTATAAAAATTAAACCAATGTTTATATTACAATATAAGATTTTATTTTATTTTTATTTTTCTGAAATAGTCTCTTTGATTCAATATTGATCTTTTTTTTTTTTTTTAAATATAAATATCTGCACAACACATTTACAATTTTTATGATTCCAATAAAGCAATTCAATTATTATAGATGATAGAAATGCTCATTGGTATTAAAGTTCATATATCTCATCACCTTATTGTACAGTTACAAAAGTACTGTTTTCCATTAGACTATTTTACAAATATATAAAGTATTTAGAATAAAAATAATGATTACGTAAAAATAATAAATAAAATCCTCGCCAAGTGAGGCCACAATTATTTTTTTTTTTTTTATAGAAATCATGATCTTTAAAAAAAAAAAAGTCCAATGCTGCATAAATGAAATTATTAATTAAATAAAATAATTCATTTATATAAATGTTATTTTGTATTAATCTTCTACAGATGAATCTACATCGGTTTTTGTATTAAAGATATGTCTAGGAACAATGTTAACAAAAATGAAGAAGTTGAAGAATTAAAAAAAAAAAAAAAAGAAATTAATAAATGAGACATTAAATATATTTGATAAACAATGCATATTCAAATAATTATTTATCCGCATTGCACACAGTGTATCTTTTTTTTTTTTTACATAAGATATGTTCTTACAAAAAACATACCTTCGTCTTAATATAATAATCTTATTAAAGAACTTCTATAATTTTCTTCTCTTTCTTGCTGGCTCTTTGTTTGCATTTGTTTCTTCACTATCATCAGTGTCTTGATTAGAATTATAAGATTTATTTTGAGTTTCAGACAAACTCAAATTTTGTAATCTGAAATCATCAATTAAAAATATATGTACATGAATGAGATATAAAAAAAAAAATAAACACCTAAATACTTTCAGTACAATAAAATAATTGTTTATCTTACCCAAATAAGTTATTGAAATCCGTTCCATTTGAATGTCCATCTTTATCCTTATTCATTATTTCATTTTGTAAATTATTTGACTGCGTATTTTGCGACTGTGTTTGGGTATAAGAATTTCTAGACAGAGTAATTTGCGTTGGTGGTGAAATTCCATTATTGACATAATATTTACCCAAATTAAGTCTTACACTTTTCGTACAATTATTCTTTTTAAATATTCCCACAAGATAATCTGCAAGTTCGAACATATTCGAGCGCAGTGATATAATTATAAATTGAGCATTCTTTGTTCTTTCTTTTATGTATTGACCAACAATGGAAACATTTTTGAAATCTAGGGCTGCATCTATTTCATCCATAAAATATAATGGCGTAGGTTTATAATGATGTAATGCAAATACCAAAGACAAAGAACTCAATGTTTTTTCACCGCCACTAAGGTTACTAATATTTTTCCAAGATTTTTTTGGTGGTCTCACACTGAAAACTATACCTTCGCTAAATGGATCCAATGAATCAACTAATTCAAGTTCAGCGTCACCTCCCAAAGTAATCATTTGATACATTTCTTTTAATTTATTCGTTATCAATGTGAAACCAGTAAGAAATTCACTTATTCTTTGTCGGCGTGTTTTTTCATAAATATCTCGCAAATTATTTCTTTCTGTTGTTATCGATTCAAGATCTGCAACTCTTTTCAAATAAACTTTATCCTTTTCTTCATAATCAGCAATAATTTGCATATTGGGAGTTTCTTTTGGTAAATGTTGCATAGCTTTATCCAATTTCTCAGATAGAACTTTTTCATTAAATTCATTTATTTCTTCGTCTGAAAATTCTTTCAATACCTCAGCTTGTTCTCCTGGAATTATATTAAGTTTCAAAGATTTTAGTTTTTGTATATATTCATGAAGTCTTGCTTTGATTGACTCTAAATCTCTCTTATTGATTTTAATTTTCTGATCTAAATCTATTTTCATAGCTTTCATATTATTTTCACGGGTTTGTATTTCTTCCAATTCTTTTTTTATAGATGTCGTAGCTTCGTCCCGTTCTACCAATAATTCTTTAACTTCGTTCAATTTTTCTAATAAAACTTTTCCTTTTTCTTCTAAATCATTTTTTTCTGCTTGCATTGTACGTAATTTTTCTTCTCCAGCGTGTATATCACTTTCGAGAACTTCTATACGCTTTGTCACTTTTTTATAATTTCGTTCAGCCGTTGTAATGGCCACTTGTAATTTACAGATTTCAGCTTTTGTATTTTCTATTAATTTATTTAAACTTGATATTTTTTGTTGTTTCTCCCTTACACGTCCACCAGATATTTCTTCAATCTTCTTATTGATATCAGAAACTTTATTTTCAACGACCGTTGATTTTTCTTGAACCACATCCAATTTCTTTTGGGCACTATCTATAATTTTCTTCATCTTTTGTACCTCTTTAGAATCACATACTGATTCTGCAACTTTTTTCTTTTGATTCTCAAACTGTACTTCTAATAATGATTCTTGTTCTTTAAGAGTTTGTACCTCGATATTAAATTTATTTCGATCTACTGTCATATCTTTTAACGAATTTGAAAGAGTATGTATTTGATTTTCCAAGGTTTGCTTTTTATTTCTTAATTCGTTACATTCTTCGTATACTTTATCAAGATTATTTTGTAATTTATCAATGTCAGCAGCGGAAGGTTCATAGCTAACTACTTTTTGGCCCATACGTCCTCTAAATACAGTAGACCCACCACCACTCATAGTACCTGACAATTCAATTAACTCTCCTTTCAAGGTAACCACCCTATAACGTTTGGGTCCATATGCAATTTGTGTTGCTTGATTTAAATTATCTGCTACTAAAGTATCATGTAAGCCATAATAAAATGCTGGTAATATATTTTCATTCTCAACACGTATTAAGTCAATTAATCGAGGAACATTTCTTGGTGTATTTATTTTTTGTTTACATTTTGCAAGCAAATGCTGTTGTTTTTCTAGAGGTATAAATGTTGCACGACCTATATTATTTTGACGAAGAAAAGTAATGCATTCTTGAGCAGTACTAACTGTATCCACTACTATGTTATCCAATGGACCGCAAGCAGTTGAAATTGCTATATCGTACTTAGCATCTATTGCACCAAGATCACCCTAGAGATAAAATCATAATATATTAATTCTGAATGAATAATATATTGAATATATATATATATGTATGTGTGTGTAAACTTACCAATCTACCAAAAATACCAGGAATCCTTCCTTCCGTTTTTTCTCTCATAAGTGAATTTAAAATTTTATTTCTAGATTTACTTGCTTGCATAGCACATTTTTTTTCTTCGAAAGAAATTCTCAAATTCTTCAGCTTTGAAGTCATCTGAATTTCACGATCCTTTGTTTCTTTAAATTCATTTTGTGCTTGATCCAAACTTTTCTGAGTAGCAGGAATTTTTTTATTTAAAGAAATAATTTGTTCAGTTCTTTGTTTGATCGTACTGACAGTAGTTTTCAAAGTTTCTTCTATATTATTCAATTTTTCTCTCTCCGTTTGTTCAATAGATGTATATAATTGTAATTTAGAATTTTCAATATCAAATGTACTCTTTGCTTCGTTAACATCTTTTCTAAGAGATATTAAATGATTCTCTAATTGAGATCGTTCATTAAGCAATGGCTCCGTTTTTTCACGCAAACCACTCATTATAGTAGCCAATGCAGCTTCCTCTTTTTCTCTTAATTGGATATTTTTCTGTATATGTTTTTCATACTCTTCTATTGTGCTTGAATTTTTTTTAGGTACTGCTTGCAATTCTTCTAATTTTTCTTTTTCCTGAAATTATTATTGAACAAAAATGAACATTTTATAAAAGTGTTCTTCATATATCACGAAAATATTCAATTTTATTATTAAACTTACAGTTTTCACCGATTTGTTATTCTCTTTTCTTCTTTTGTTTGTCTCTACCATTTCTGCATATAAATATTCATCCTTTTTTCTTATTTCTTCAAATTGAGCGTCAATATCATCCTTAGTAGATTGTAATTTGTTCCATTTTTTATTTTTTTCTCGGAGTAACTTTTCTTTTTCATCTTTTTTTTGTTGAACAATTTCCAATTCATTTTGAAGATTTTGAAGATCTGTTTTTACTTCATTCGTTGCTTCTTCTTTTGAATTAACTTCGCTTTCTTTCTTAACACTGATTTATGATAAATTTGAAATTATTTATGTGAATTAAATAAAATAAAATAATTTATTGCAAAGCTTTTAAAATTACAATTTGCATTATAAGATAATCTAATATTATTCATTTACCGTTTACAATTATACAACTGATGTTGTAATTTTATTATACCATTCTCCATTCTCAAATAATTAATTGCATCTTGCATAGGTTCTTCTAAAGCAGCCTTTTCCTTTTCAACAATTCGAAGACGATTCATTTTTTCAACTCTATATTCTGTTAATACCTCAATCTTCTCAGACAACTTTTCGAGAGGTTCTTTAAAACGCACTGTACCAATAATATCTTCTAAAAATTCTAACATACCAGTTTCATTATCATTTCCAGTTTTTGGTTTCATCATTGCTATTTGTTCTACTTCACCCTGTACAAAGATTTGATTAGATCTTTAATCTTAAAATATCGAAATTATACTTTTATTATTCATACCTGTAAAATTAGAAATCGATTGTGATCTAAATCAACGCCATGAGATCTTAAAAGTTTAGATATCTCTTTAAATTGTACTTTCTTCTTGTTTAATTCATAATATGATGTATTATCCTTAAATGCTGTTCTAGATATGACAAATTCACTATTCGGTACCACTTCATAATCATCACCCTCCTATAATATAAACATTCCTTTTTTTTCCTTTTATCATACATTTTTTATCCAAATAAAATCTTACATATACAGTAAAACAAAGACAATTGTATATTATTTTTAATTTACCTTATCTATTATATGCTGGAAATGTACAGAAACTCTACAGCTTCTGCAGTTACTATACTGATTCGAATTGTGTATTAAAACTGATATTTTTTTTGAGCGTATCTTACTTGCTTTATAACCAAATACAAAAAGCATTGAATCAATGACGTTACTTTTACCACTTCCATTTGGTCCCACAATTGCAGAAAAACACTAAAAGATATATTGATAAATAAAACATATATACATATAAAAATTCTATATATAAATTAAAGAGATTTTATAATTATGTTTACCTTGTGAAAAGGACCAATAACTTGTGTGCCAGCATAACTTTTAAAGTTTTCATTAACTATTTTTGTAATCATAAGTCTAGGTCCATTTACATCTAATTCATTGATCTTACTTGGCGGTGGTGGAATGTAAATATCATCATCTATTCTTATACCCCCTTCTTCATCACTATCACGTTCATTATTTACAAAATCCACTTCCATTTCATCAGAAATATTATGTCTATTATCTGCTTTATTAGCCATTCTAAATACTTTTTACAACATAGTCAATATTATGAAAAATATAATTCACACAATAATTGTTTGAGGTTAACCAACAACATTAATTATATTTAATATTGTTCTTGCTAATATTTCATTAAATAATTAATACTATTCATGTTATAATCACTAAAGTGTATTTCTATGAACCACATATAAAATAAATTACAAATTAATTCAAATAAACGGAACTAAAAATTTTTCAAATTTAATTGAAACCGCGCGAAATAATATCTCGACGATAATATTACACCAATTATCGAAGTTTATAGAAAAGTAAGTATTATACTTTACGAACTGTATGATATTTTACATCAGTAATATATGTTTAGAATTGCAAATTTTGTTAAATATTATCATATATTACAAATTGAATATTCTACAAAACACCATTATAAGACAAACCGTTAATACAAAATGGCGCCGCTATATTCAAATATTTCAAATATACATAGCGTCCTATTCTTTTGGAACACATGCGAAATAAACACCAATCAAATGCTTGGACAAATTCATTTCAACCAATAAGAAATTGAAACCAACATTTATAAATGCCTTACTTCAACTACTAATCATAAATGTTCGATAAGTCTTTTTTACTTTTTTTTTTATTGAATATAATTACAATTGGTAATAAATATATATAAATATAAATGATAAAAATTATATATATATGTTAGAATCTTAAATGTCGATTATATAATCACTCATGAACAAATGATTATGCCTCTGACATGTTCATGTATGAGTTTCTGTTTACAATAGCTACTGGTTAAGTCTAATATGTCAACTTTCACTTGTACATGCGTGAAAGAGAGTAAACAATTTGCTCGTGTGTCTTTTATAAACACACTGTTTCTAAAACGATTGAAATACCGTACTTCTGCAAAGTCCGTGAAGGTAAAACTTCATTACTTACAAAGTGTATTTACTTTAATAATTTACAATCTACGTAACATAGAAATATTTCTTTAGCAATTATATCAAACACTTGGAGTAAATGAAGATTGTGAAGATGAAACACTTAGACTTGCCTTTATACATCTTGCTAAACAATTTCATCCAGACAGTGGAGCACCAGAAGCTGATGCAATTAGATTTGCCGAAGTACAAATATTTCAAATATATATTGTCAATTTATATAATTTAATCAAAAAACATATATGTAATACAACTTTTAATAACATTCTGTTTAGGTTGAAAATGCCTATAGAGAAATACGAAAGCTACGTAATGATATGAAAGAAAGTAATTCTCAATTATTACCAGAGGTTGAAGAATTCGATATTAAGGTTTTTGATTAAAATATTATTTTTTTGTTTCTATATTTATGTATAAGTACATTTGAGTTTTTGATTTTTAAGCATACAGCACCACAACATCGTCATTATCTAAACTATGATGTTGGAATAGGAACGCCAAGTAAAAGACAAAAATTATACACTATTGAAAGAGCACAAAAAGCTGTTGAAAATATTATGGAACACAGATTGCAAAAATTACAAGCAGAAGAACGTAATACATTAATTGGGATGGATAAAAAACGTGCTCAAGATATCAAGACACGTTATGGTATGGATCGGTTGGTAGAAGATTTGATTCAAGAGGCAATGAATAAAGGTGAATTTAGTGATCTTCCTGGCATGGGTAAACCTTTAAAAAATAATATCAGTAGAGAAAATCCATACGTTGATTTCACTACGCATAAATTAAATCAGGTATTAAAATAACTTTTATAAACATAATATGTGTTATATATATTATAATATAACAAATATATATAATAAAATTAATTTTAATTGTATCGCAGGTATTAATAGAAAATGGATTTACTCCAGAATGGATACAACTGTCAAAGGAAATCAGAGAAGAAACCAAAGAATTAAATAAATTATTAACAGAAGCTCGCAATAAATTAAGTTTAACTCCATTAAATTTTGAAGAAACAGAAAGTTGGAATAATACTATAGAAAATTTAAAACCTTTAATTAAAAAATTAAACAATAAAATTGATAAATATAATTTACTAGTACCTATACTCCAGAAACAAATGGTTCATGTTAATTTAGAAACTCTTGCAGAACAGGCATTATTGAAAGAACCAGTTCAATCAACAACAAAATCAGTAAAAAAACATACAAATGATACTTATAATTACAACAATAATTTCGACATTTTTAGTTTGATTGAAACAATATTCAAAAAGAAAGTTACTTAAAGATAAAGTAGATAATAAACTAGATAACGTTAATGTTTATTAAAAATCTAAAATAAATAGTTAATGCATTATTTTATTTATTGACTAGAAGAAGAACGAAGTATATATATCTACTTGTATATAGTTTATATAAAATCTATGAGAAAAAGATTTGAACAAATAATTTATATTGTTTATATAAATATAAAAAATATTTCAATTTTATTCATAAGGCATCAAATATAAGATATAAGATATCTTTATAAAAATATATGTATATATATAAATATATATATAAACATATAATTTAATAATTCCACTGGATTTTACCATCATCCTTTAACTGTATACGTCCTGTGGCTAAATGTTTTAATGCACGAGGAAAAGCTTTATGCTCAGCTTCTTTTACACGTTCTTGAAGTGTTTTTACAGTATCATTTGGTAAAACAGGTACCGACTCTTGTTCTATAATAGCTCCAGAATCAATATCAACCTATATTAAATAATACAGAATATTGTATGTACAAATAATATAACAAAATTATTTGAATTTTAATATTGAATGTATTAACAATTGTTACCTCAACAAAATGAACAGTACATCCTGAAATGCGAACGCCAGCTGTTAAAACATCTTGATGTGCTTGTGCTCCTTTAAAAGAAGGTAGTAAAGATGGATGCACATTGATTAAAGCACCTTTCCATTTATTTACAAATTGAGCGGACAAAATTCTCATAAAACCAGCCAAACATACGATCTCTACTCCTACTTTGTCAAGTTCAACATTCATTGCTGAATCAAAAGCTTCTCGATTTGCATATTGATTATGTTGAATAACCTAAGTTTAAAAATAATGAAGTAACATTATAATAGTATTGGATGAAAAGTGATGTAAATGAACGATATAGTAATTGAAATTTCTATTTACAACTGTTTTAATGCCTGCTCTTTCTGCTCTTTTCAATCCTTCAACATTTGGTTTATTGGATATTACTAAAACTATTTCTGCACCAATGTGCTGTGTTGGATCTTTTGTAGCATTAATTAATGACTGAAGATTAGTTCCACTACCAGAAATTAAAACACCCACTTTTTTAAGTGGTGTTGCTAATTTGGATACAATATGTGGAACATATTTTTTCATCTCTGTTTCTATCGATTTGTCGAAGTTTTCAACTTTAACGTTTGCTTCATCATCTACAATATTGAAATATATTATTTATAAATATCGTAGAAAAAATAATAGTTTATTTAAATTGAAATAATCAACTTACTACAACGAGAATGTACTTTTCCTATAATCATTGGATGTTCCTCTTTTAACATTTGTAATACTTTATCTTTTTCTTTTTCTGCACATATTAAAACAGCCCCAATACCACAATTGAAAGTTCTTAACATTTCTCGTTGACTAATATTACCTATAAAATATAAACAAAAATACTAGTTACTTTTAAATAAGATTATTTCATTTTTTAATATAATATCTTTGGTTTCTTACCAATTGCAGCAAGCCATCCAAAGATAGGTAAAATTTTCCATTTAAATGCGTCTAAAGTTACTTTAACATTTTTAGGCAAAATTCTTGGTATATTTTCTATTAAACCTCCACCAGTAATATGAGCAAATCCCTTTATTAAATTTGATTTTAAAGCAGGAATGACACCCTTAACATAAATTTTAGTTGGTTCTAAAAGTTCTTCGCCTGTAACCGATTAATGCATAACATTACGTATTTATGAATTAATGAAAAAAATATTTGACTTCATTAAATAAATTTACCAATAGTTTTTCCTGTTTCAGAAAATGGAGCTATGTCTGAGTATTTAACATTTCCTATTTCAAGAACTTTTCGCACTAAACTAAAACCATTACTATGTATACCACTTGATGGAAGACCAATTACAATATCTCCTTGTGTAATATTATCAATGCACGGTAACAAATTGTTTTTTTCAACTGCTCCAACTGCAAATCCTGCCAAATCATATTCTCCATTTGCATACATATCTGGCATTTCTGCGGTCTCTCCACCAATCTAGAAATAAGATTAGCTCAATTTTGTTATTCTGCAAAATGTAAAATATTGAGAAATATATATTTTATATAAAGTATTATATTTCTTACTAGCTTATCTAGATATATACATATATATTTACCAAAGAACATCCAGCTTTTTTGCATCCTTCTGAAACACCATTTATAACAGTGGCAGCTACATTAACATCAAGTTTACCACAAGCAAAATAATCAAGGAAAAATAATGGTTCTGCTCCATGTGCGAGTATATCATTGACGCACATTGCCACTAAATCTATTCCTACTGTATCATGTTTATGGCATTCAAATGCAATCTAGAAAAATAATTAAACGTGGATATTAATCAATGTGTGTCTATCTTATATTATAGAATTTATATCATTTAATAATATCTACTTACTTTTAATTTTGTACCAACTCCATCAGTACCAGAAACTAAGATAGGATCTTTATAACCTGCAGCTTTGACATCAAATAGACCACCAAAACCACCAATAGATCCTAATGTACCAGAACGCATGGTAGAACACGATGCAGGTTTAATGGCAGATACTAAAGAATCACCAGCTTCAATATCAACACCACTAGTTTTATATGTTAAATCGCCACAACGAAGAATTGACCTGTAATGATTTTTATTGAAATAAATCTTTATTATAAATTTAGAAAAAATTTATTATACATACCGGGGGATACCTTTATGTGCTATATCCTTTCTAAATTGTTTTCCATCGAATGATATATTTTGAGCAGCTTGAGTAGCTCTAGCTGCTGCTAATACCAGTGAATGTGCAATGTTAACAACAATCAGAACTCTTCCACCTAAAAATATAAGTAAATATTTTAATAATTAGTATAATAATAAACTTATTCATCTTCTTCTTCTTAATATATATAAATTACGTGTCACGTTGTTTGTCCGCAATGAATTCCTAAACTACTGAACCAATTTTAATAAAATTTTACACACTGTGTGCAGTTTCATCCAACTTGAAAGATAGGATAGTTTATATCTCAATTTATTATATATATATATATATATATATATATATATACACCCCTAGTTATTTATAAACTATCTTACCATTTGTTAATAATTCTCCTTGAGAAGACAGATCAGTACCACTATGAAAAATAAAATAATCCTTTTTAGATGTCACATCATCAATGCCTGTTATTATTTGACCTTTAGAAGATGAAGCTGGATATCCACGAGATGCTAAAATAACTCCAGCAGCAAATACATTTTCATGCCACTCAATTTGAATTTGATTCAAGATACCTTCGCAGCATGCCTGAATAAAACAATATTACGTAAATATTTTTTGCCATTTTGAATAAATTACGCTGTATAAAAAAGACAAAATTCACCTTCATAATTTTAAAAAGATCTGATTTTAATAATGGTAGTATCACTTGTGTTTCAGGATCACCAAACCTGCAATTAAATTCTAGAACTTTAGGACCTTCATTAGTTATCATCAAACCAGCGTACAAGACACCTAAAATACATAATAAAAAAAATAGAAAGAGATTTTTAAATATATTTTGTTTAAATATATTATTACAATTATTTACCAACAAATGGTATATTTTCTTTTCGGAATCCATTAATAGTTTGTTCAAGAATTTTTAACTTCACTATTTCATAATCTGTTTCACTCAACAAAGGACATGGACAATAGGCACCCATTCCACCTGTATTTGGACCAATATCCCCATCAAATATTCTTTTATGATCTTGCGATGGTATCATGGGAATTATTGTCTTTCCTAAATAATAATTAATATTATATTATAATAAATGTTTGAACACTTGTGAAATAATTGTTTATTTTATATATATTCTGTCATACCATCTGTAAATGCAAGAACTGATACTTCTTCACCTTCTAAAAGTTCTTCTACAACAATATTTTCACCGGCAGAACCAAACTTTTTATCAATTAACATTTCATCAATAGCTTTACATGCTTCCTCTACATTTTTAGCTACAATAACACCTTTACCAGCTGCCAAACCTGAAGCTTTAATCACGAGAGCTCGAAATGAGGCACTAAAATATTTATATTCATACTGATAAAATCATATAATATATATTTATAATTACTAAACAATTATTTGTATGTAATCCACTCACTTTTTAACAAATTCTTTTGCATCTTTAGCATTAGTAAATCCTTTCCACTTAGCTGTTGGAATATTATATCGATCCATGAATTGTTTTGCCCAATCTTTGTTAGCTTCTATTTGAGCTGCTTCCTTTCGTGGTCCAAAACAATGTATTCCTTTACTTTGCAATTCATCTGCCAAACCTTTTGCAAGATATTCTTCTGGGCCAACAATGACAAAACTTATTCCATTTTTTTTGCTCCATTCAGCTACTTCCTATCAAATAAAAATTTACCATAACAAAAAATTATTTAAATTTTATACAATAAAAATTATTTAAGCATGTATCACATACTTTATAATCTTTAACATTAAGTTTTACTAAAGAAACTTTATCCACCAAAGCAATACCACTATTACCGGGAGCAACGAATATCTTCTTAATCTATAAACAATAATAAAATATAAATATTAGAAATATTTTACATGTAAACAATCTGATTAATAAAATAATTTATCCTTACATCTGGAGATTGAGATAATTTCCAAGAAATGGCATGTTCTCTACCACCATTACCTATGACCAAGACAGTTTGTTCTGCCATTTCTAAAATGATTATTAATAATATTTTATATATTAAAATAAATTAAATTATTATTAAAAATAATTTAAATAGTTTATAAATAATATATGTAAGCAAAGAACTTCTTACTTAATATTTAATTTCTTTTTCTATTTTTTATTAAATTATTAGAACAAAATAAACACGTAGTAAATTATTACAAATGTCTAATGCGAAATAAGAACTTCAATCTACTGCTTTACTACCATTCACTTTGAATTCTAAATCCCACAAATAGAACTATTACATTTTCTGTTATAAAACAATTTTTTTGTGTATTGATAATAAAAGCCAATTATTTTCGTTCTTTCGAACGACGTGATATATATAGTTAACTCTTCGCGGGAGTTAATCTTTATTAACCTCTTGCAACATATGGTGATAACACATTTAACCTATTGAAATTTATTTGTATCATATTGATAATGATCATAATAAGAAGATCTATCAAAAATAAACGACGTCATTAACTAACAATAATAATAAATAATAAATTAAATATTTCATTTAAAAATTATCAAATCCTGACAAACCTTCGGGATAAGGTTAGCATAAACAAAGTATAAACAAACAAACAAATAAATTGATTTGATAATTGATCAAATGATCTATTGCAATGTAAAATTATATCATGTTATTATTATTCTCGTGTTATCGTTTAAAATACAATTTACCTAATTAAGAATTATAAATCATAATCGTTATTGCAATCATTGTTATTTGTTGTAAATATTTTTTTTTTTCGAATACAATTTTTTTCGGTATGACATGTAGATAGTGGCGCGAAAAACAAACTCAAGGTCATCAAAGTTCCTTGCTGGGGGGGAAAAATATATCGATTCTTTTTACTTTCCTTTGAAGAAACTTGAACCAATTGATTACATTATTGATCAATGAAAATGTGCAATATTATACAGTACACATATATATATATATATAAAGTTATATATTATTTATATAACGGAACTACATTCGAATTGTAAAAAAATAGTGTGCGGTCGGACATTACGTCAACAACGATTTATCATCAAGTTTTATGATTTTATATTTAAATTATGATAATTTTGTAATAATAAATAAATATTGTACAATTGTATAACGATTGTACAAACTTTGACGTATCTGCGTTATTTTTATTGTTTATTTAATGATACAATAACTTAAAAAAAAAAAAAAATCATAAATTATATGCAACAAGGGAATTCTATCGAAAACAATAAAGAAATGGTAATAAAAATACGAAGAACGCCTAATTGAATATTTCTTTCTCTAAATATTGAAAATATCCTGAAGATAGTCGTATTAGAAAATCGTTAAGATCATCTCTCGAATTTTGATATTTTGTTTCTAATTTTACTGCCAAAAAGATCAGAGGGATTTTTGTTAATTAAGCCGGAATGTTCAAAAGAACAAAGAGAAAAGTCCTGGGATTCTCTCATAAAATCGTCTAGTTTTTAGATTTATCGATCGAAGGACATGTTACTTGCCGATGCTGGTGGTTTCACTAGCCAATTTTGTAAAAACGGCTATATTAATTTACAACACAATTCATGGTTCCGTATAATAATATCTTCTTTTCCATTAAGATATTTATCATCATCAAAGAGTACAGAAATGTTACTCAGCAAAGAAAAGATGAATGTCAAGGACTGCAAAAATGTTAAAGTTAGTACAAGTTAAAACACACAAGTTGTATAAAAAAGAACATTATAAAACAAAGTATATGGTAAAATATATGTTGGTAATTATTTAGAATAAAAGCTTTTTCTAATACACATTATTCTTTTTTTTTTTTTTTGCAATTCTTTTGATAACACAATTTTTATAATAAAGTATTAGTATATACTCTGTATCAATATTTATATAATCCTGACTATTATAAAAAATTGTGGAAAAGCTCCATTCTAAATAATTACCTATATATTAAATAAATAATTATTTGAAATAATTTTTTTTTTACCAACATAGGAAAATTTAGAAAAGAAACCAAAAATGCAAACATTTCGTATATACCGATGGAATCCAGAAAAGCCCAAAGTAAAGCCATTTATGCAACAATATAACGTTGATTTAAATAAATCTTCTGGTACTATGGTCTTGGACGCTTTACATATAATTAAAGGAGAACTCGATCCTACTTTATCATTCCGAAGATCATGCCGTGAAGGAATTTGTGGATGTTGTTCGATGAATATCAATGGTGTTAATAATCTAGCTTGTGTCACGTAATTATAACACAATGATTTCATTTTGATATATATATATCAAATAATATTTGTTTAAATATAATTAATTACCTTAAACACATATATTTGTATGTGATTATGCTTTCAGAAAAATAGAATATTCACCAAAACCGATAATTATTTATCCTTTACCACATGCCTATGTAATCCGAGATTTAATTGTGGATATGACACAATTTCTTAAACAAATTGATTCAGTTGATCCATTTTTAAAACGTCCCGGAGAAGATAGCTTTCTTGGTTTAAGACAAATTTTACAGAGTCCCAGGGATAGAGATAAACTCAATGGATTATACGAGTGTATTCTCTGTGGATGCTGTTCTTATTCGTGTCCTCCATACTGGTGGTTAGGTGATAAATTTTTAGGTCCAGCTGCTCTTCTTCAGGTATCAAATTATTATCGTATTGTATAATACAAGAACAAATCTGTAATCTCTGCTGTATACATAAAATTACAGGCATACAGATGGTTGATAGATTCAAGAGATCTGGCGTATAAGGACCGTCTTAACAAATTACAAGATTTTTATTCGGTTTATCGATGTCACACCATATTTAATTGTACTAAATCATGCCCTAAGGTATATATAACACTATATATTCTAATTTCAATTACTTTTTCTATCTTAAAAAATGATTCATACATTTTATTTGAGGCTTTAAACCCTGGAAGAGCAATAGCTGAAATAAAACGGCATCTTGCTGGACTTACGAAAAAAGAGGATCCAGATTTAGAAACACCAATACCAAATCCTTGTCCTGGTAAAGAAGACATTTACTTGTGTAAAGAAGAATGATGAACAATGCAATATCGATGTCATTCAAATAGTGCACGTAATATTTTAAGTTGAAAATGGCACATACATTATAAATATGCTTAAAGCGTATTTTAGCATGTTGAATTATGTTATGTGTTATACGAAATATCGATCATACTTAAAATAAAAACAAACATGTCGCAACAAACAAAAAATTTATTGTTATAAATGTTCGTATATCATATAATGTGAAATTTTGTTTAAATTGTTTATAATGAAATAATACAAGATATTTTACTGATATGTCATGATGAACAAAAATCTCTATAAAGTAGATCATAGTTTTGAATGAATTAAAAATATATGCGCACAAAATAAATAACAAAATGTCAGAAATATTTTGTTTCTTAATATCGGAATCGTAACATATAATTCAATAGACATGATGATATTATGCAATTAAACACATGAATCGCAGACAAATACCTATTGAAAAAAAAAATCAACAGCATAAATTATAAATATAGGAGCATATACAGTGTTAATGAAAAATGTGATTGTATTATATATTGCATGTAAATCTGTTCTTCTTTATATTACACATTATATACACTACTATATTTATGTAAATTAAATACTATTTATGTATGAAAAGAACATAAATATAACAACAAAATTTTTTGATAATAAAAAAAAAATGAACACACTATTCCTTACGCACGGAATTAATGTAATTATCTTTATTTTAAAAAAGTCAATATATCATTATTTGTACTTATGGTTACATAGACCCGCTAGCAGGCTGCATTTGGTCAAAATATTTAGAAATCTAGTCTTGGTCGTTTTCTCGAACCTGCATGCGAGTCATGTTTATTTTTACTATCTGTGGGTAAATTGGTTGGAGGGCAGTTTTCTTCATCGCCATCATCAAATAAAGATTGTACAGTACTACGGATTAAACGATCCTGTAGCCAAGGATGTAATAATACCTGCTTAATGGTAATTCGTTTCCTAGGGTCTACTGTCATCATACGTTTGATCTAAAAACGAAATCTTTTTTTCTCAATATATTTCTAAATATTTTTTATCTATTTAATACATAACATTTTTGAGATGTTACTTCCTTTTCTCAAATACATTATTCAATACAATCAATGAACATCAATAACTCTTACCAAATCGATAGCTTTATCCGACACTTGTCCAAATTTAGAACTTGGAAATCCATAAAGACCTCTTTTTATTTGATCTTGTAAAGAAACTTCTTTACATGTAACGTTAAATGGAACTGTTCCACTTAAACAAGCATATAAAATTACACCTAAACTCCATATATCCACCTAAAATAAATTAATATTATAAAATATATTTCAATGAGATTAATATTTAACAAAAAATCTTAAAATATATAAATTATACTTTGTTTGTATATGAATCGCGTCCACTTTTTGATAATATCTCAGGTGCTACATACATTGGTGTTCCACAAAATGTTTTCATCATGGTTTCCGCGTCAACTAATTTTGATAGACCAAAGTCTGAGACTTTAGCTAAAGTCACATCTGCATTACTTGCTAGCAATATATTTTCAGGCTGTATTTGTTTAAATAATAATAATAATTTAAATAAATACATATTAACATATTATTATTATTATTATTATTATTATACGTATCAAGTCAATGAACCTTTAGATCCCTATGAGTGATACCAGAATCATGTAGATAATTAACTGCCAATACAACTTGATAAAATATCAATTTGGCATGATCTTCTGTCAATCTACCTCTACTTGTTATCCTTTGAAAGAGTTCTCCGCCTTCCATTAATTCAAGCACAATATAAACAGCACGTGGAGTATCTACAATTTCTTCCAAACGAATCACGCAAGGCTATTGCATTGTGGATTTTGTTTAATTAATTAAATTATTCATTCACAACGTAATAAAATTAAAACAATATAAACATTCGTAACGCAAGAAAAAAAAAAATATCATATCAACTTACATGCCTCAATGATTTTAAAATCCTAACTTCGTTCATAACTTTTTCAGGATCATTCAAGGGGTGTCTATATCCATTCGAAGTACTCGCTGCTTTAACTATAATTTTCATTGCAAATCTTTTACAACCATTTTTGGTAAATACCATTTTTACTTCTCCACCGGCACCCGAGCCTAATGTACGTGAAACTGCATATTTGCTTTTCAATTCCATAGGTAAATCATTACCCTCAAATGCAATTGTACTCATGAATACATATGCTAAAAAATATAAAATACATTATTAATTAATAATATGTATTATAATAATTGAAATATTTGTATAATTCTAATGTAAATAAATATCTACCTTCAAATTGAGGTTGAGCTAGAGATATCACATCGTTACTTTGTAATACTACTCGTTTGCGATTGCCAACTTTTTCTTTATTAACAAAAGTACCATTATGACTAAGATCTTCTAAGTATACTATTGAATCGTTATTATTTCCACCGATATCTTCTCTGATTATCCTAAAGTGCACTTTACTTATTACACTCACCCACTTAGGTTTTAAATTTAGAGAATTAATACAAATATCACAATTCTCAGCACGTCCGAGAGTATATTCGTCATTAGTCATTGCTGTTAAAAATAAAATTCAAAATATTAATTACCTCATATATTTTTATTATATATATATATATGTATGTATGTATGTAATAATACGTATAAATTTACCTATTGGTTTGAAACAAAGCTTGTTTGGGCATAATCTTCCCCAAATAGTTACAGATTTTTGAGAAACAGGTAAATCTTGAGACTGCGTAAGAGTCAAATTGTCTACATTTTGTGTATCAGGCAAAGACAAAGAGTCTTGCGATAACATTTTTATATCTTTTTTTAACAATATTCAAATAACTGAACAATGTATAAACTATTAATATATTTGTCAATGATTATTACGTGTTACTTTTGTCACTTTTATAAAAACATACGTAATAACTAAAAACAAAGAAAATACGTAAATAAAGTTAACCCATCATATGATTTTTATCACACTTATATAAATTAAACAAAACACTTTCATTGTGCACGTTTTAATCTAATAAGAAAAAAATACACATATAATTTGATAAAATACAATTATGTTGAACAAAAAGCTACAACCGTTTGTTTAATTCAATGATGCCGGTAAGCGTTCTTTTCTCAAAGAAATCCTTCTCAGGATCATATATAACTAATAACACACGATCACCTTTATGCATACTACGAAAAAGGAAACCGGCTTTTGTGTAAATATCTGTGTATATTTCTTTTTGTTCGTTACTAGCCTCACCGAACAAGGATAACAAAGAAAATCCACACCGAAGCATTTTCAACATTTGTCGTAACCATGATTGGTTGACTAAAATGTTATTTAAAAAAATTCATTTTACGTTTATCTATATTTTTACATAAGTGATTACATACATATATATGTACATACATTTTTTTTTCAATTTATAAATGTCTATAAATATATATATTTAATAAATAAAATCAATATAAATATCGATAATGTAATTCAATAATCATTTGATATTTCTATGGACGTTTCTGATTGGTCTATATCATTGAATCCCCAACAGGACAATAAATAAACTATACTTATTAATCTATGAATGAATAATTTGACTAAAAGTGTAAAAATTGTTTACTCTACATTTATAGAATGAATGGTACATTTGTTTTTATAAAATTATCAGTATTTTTTATAAAATAATAGAAATTTATAAGATATATATATACAAAGAAATATAGCAGCTCCATCTTACGGTAATTTATCTTGAAGAAAAATAAATAATAAATTAAAACAAATAATATATTTAAATTCAAAATATGTGAATTGTTATTAAAATTTAAAATATTATAAATAAATGATTAAAATTATTTTCTATAGGTTTTTGATATCATTATATTATAATAAATTATATTATTATTCTTTTTTATTTAAATTATTAGATAATAATTATTGTAATTTAAAGTTTAAAAATAATTTTGAAAAACAATAGATATATATATATTATAAAGGATGAATAATACTTTATTACTATTCTACTATTTGCAACATTATTAAAACTGGTAGAAAAATGGAATTACTAAAGCTAGATAACGAATCATGAAAAGCAACTACAACATAATTTTTATTACATTTAACCATACGTAGACACAAATATCAAGTGCTCAATATGCGTATAGTTTCATTGTATGCTTATAACAATATATTTCTGGCCCTTCTTTATCACACCCTGGAATACTGTTATCAAGTGCATGTATACATATACATTTACATATGATCATATGTTTACATATGTATACATTACATTTAACTTTTATCATATTTGTAATCTTAAAATAAATAAAGAAGAAATATTTTTCTTTTTTAATTTCAATATTCTAATAAATATTTTCGAAGAAAAATTCAATGAAATTTAAATTAAAATGATACTTAAATGAATGTGTAAATTGTAATAAAACTATAGATTGTATATTTTCTTTACGGTATTTAAAATATTACTTTGTAAAGCGACACAATGTTACAAATGAAATTTCGTGCATCAAAATTCATAGATGCATATTACAATTAATATTATAATTATATATTAATAATGCAATGATAAATTTTACACAATACACAAAATGAAATTCCGGTGAATAATTAAACGAAATTATACGCCATTTTTAAATATTACCGGTGCCAGTGCATTCTCAATAAATATTAGAAATAATTTGACGAATTTATTGAAGTATTTAAAAGGTAACAAAATAATAATAATAATAATAATAATAATAATAATAATAATAATAATAATCAAAACTATGGAATAAAATGTAGCATTCGTTAAAGTTTTTCATTTACTTTGCCATTCTATTATTTCTTTTTGTATATAGCTAATATAGCTTTGTTTAAATTAAAATAACTATATTATATTATTAAGAGAATAATATGAAATATATGTGTATATGCAGGTAATATAGATCTTACGACTCAGTGACAACTTCGTTTATTTTTCATCAAAATAATTTAGTACCACATTAATTGAAGGGTATTTTTCTCAGGGGTCAATTTGGTTAATAAGGTGAACAAGGAAGAAATAGTAGGAAAAGGTTGTAAACGTCAGTATAATGTTTGAAAAATTACCCTTAATTAAGCATCGTCATGATATCCATACTGTACACTTACAATGCAAGTACATATGAATGCAATAAAATATGTATATGTCAGTGTGTCGTCCAACCATAGATTTCAATTGAATTGTTTTTTTTCTTTTTCTATTTTTTTCCTTTATCTATGTCATACCTAAAAACTACTGTTATAATAGTGGTTAAAACTAAGTATAGAATTAGCAATTTTCACTTTTGGAACTCACACGTTGAATTATACGCTTTCGGTTTTTTTTTTTTTTTCCAATATAAATATGTGTTATTCCATTTAATAATTATAATTAAATCGATGAGAAATTCATTGACTATGCTTTGTATTTTTTGTTGTTGTTGTTAATTAATTTTCCTCGATAGGTTATCATTATTAATGCACATTGATTGGATGCTAAGCACTGGGTAAAAGCTTATATTTTTCTTTTTTATATTCTCTAGTTTGAGTACACATTAAATTTCCCAAAATTCAACCTTTACTTTTGTTGCTTCCCATTCAAACAAAAACATTATAAAAATTGTCCATATTAATTTTAGTCTTTTAACCACATTATTAACTTAAATTTGCACAATATTATATCTTATATTCTTAATTGTATTCACTTTGTGAGTATGCACATTTGAGTACGTTTATACAACCCCATCATCCACACTGGGAGGAAACAATTCCCTATTTTATATTGAATATATATGCGCAGTTATAATATTGAAAAACAAGCAATATTTAGATAGAAGAATTGTTTTTATTGAGGTAATTGTCTCTTCACAGTGTGTCATTTATTTCAAATTGGCTGTCTAATGTAGTGGATTTTATCTTCTGTGACGACGACAGGCAGCAGAGTATCTCAACAGCATACTACTTACTACAGTTTTCAAAACTAATCTGTGGTAATTCAATCGTTGGCATTCGATATATTAACAGTCAGCAAATTATGCTACTGCTTTTTGTTTTCTTTTTTTTTTTGTTTTTGTTATATCAGGTATCCTATTTGAAATTCTACACGCAATTATCTTTCAAACTAATTTTTATTCAAACAAGTTTTTCAAGCAGAAATTACTTTCTTCCAAGGGGGGTATTTTATGATAGTCATAAATCCTAGTTTAAGTGGATATGCCTTTGAGATTTCAAAGGCATTCTTTTTTTTTTTTTAATGAAATTATACTTGTTCACTTAAATAGACGTTTATCCCGTTTTATGACGAATTCATCAACTTATATGTTGGTCTTTCAATTATATTCAACGTCATTTATATTACCGTTTTAAACTTACCTTCATTAAACATTTCAAGATCTTAATAGACGATCTTAAATATTAATACAATAATTTATTCTAAACCTAAACGATAATTCCACCCCTTGAAAGTTGCACAAATTTGTTGACAAATATTCTTAATATAATTCATTATATTAAGAGTAGATTATTAAGAACGAATTATTCTCAATAAACTTAAATCATTTTTTTGCTCCATTTGTAAACAAAAATAATAATAAATTTCATTTTCATTCACGTTTACAATTGAATCGATGAAATACCCCCGTTAAACCAAATCTTAAGGACATTAAACGAAGGTAAGTTTTAAATGATAATAAATGATCTTATAGAGGATCTTGAAAGACCAATATATTACAACTATAATTAAATAAATAAATTTGTTACGAAACGGGCTATATTTCTACGTAAGTGAAAACAAAACTGATTTTATGATTTATATTATATTACAATTATTTTTACTATAAAATAAATCATAAAATGAATTTTTTTTTTTTCATTTGTTGACTTAGTCCACTGTTATAATTACAGCCATAATTAATTTTATGGAATACATACATATATATACATATACATATACATATACATATACATATACATATGTATAAATAATTTGATTAAAAGAAAACAAAACTCATATTGAAATTTTGGAGGCAAGTTTAACTGGACAACAAGATTTATGACCATTACAATGTGTCTTTCTTCAAACAAAGTAACTTCTATTTACTTAAAATACTTTTCTTGAATAACTAGTAGCTTGTAAGATAATTATTGCAAAATTTCAAATGGGACATCATGTATATGAATAAAGATGAAGCAGCATCTCATTTTGAATTGCCAAAAATAGTCGAGGAGAGTGCATCAAATAATTACAAAGCTTTGTTCTTATATAGGTGATGACACAGTTCTCATTTTCATCACCATTATAAGAGTCCAAAAAAGATTCGACGAAATGGTAAAGAATGTGAGAACCGAGGAGGACGATATAATATCCTTTTTATTTTATACTGAATATCGCATTTTTAATATTATAATAAATATTGATAATACCTGAAAAAAGAAAGAGAGAGAGAGAAAAAGATGGCATTATAGTAGAGAGCCAGAGAAGAGGATAGAAGAAGAAGAGGTGGTAATGCAGGTATAAAAAGGCAGTCACTGACAAAATTTTGCACTAAGTAGAAATAATAAATATATATATATATATATATATAGAATCCCGTCTTTGTTCTCGCGCATTTAGTTAAAGAAAAATAAATTCCTATGGTTTCCAAACACTATAATGCTGTAAATTGTGTAATATCCTCCTCGAGATGAGCCTATATGTACTCTCCTCGATTAGTGCAGTTCATTACCGTAAAACGATATACAATATTAATATAATTACTAATCGTACTTTATTATAAATTAATTAAAGAGCTCTTAGTCGTACGCGTATGTATGTATAATAATAATAATTAATAATTAATAATTAATAATAATAATAATAATAATTAATAATAATTAATAATTAATAATAATAATAATAATAATAATAATAATAATAATAATAATAATAATAATATTAATATTAATCATAATGTATGTACGATAGCTTTTGGAGCAAGTTACTCTTTCGGCCATTTCAATCGAACTGGACGCGCATGTTTATCTTCTTCGCTCTTCATGTTTATGAAGTTCCAAAGAAACTGTAAAATAGGGTGACTAGCGACACTCCCAGATCTTCACCGTTTGATCTACGCTACCGGTGACCACATATGGATGATTCTTGTGAAAATCTAAGGGATAAAATATAGAAAATAATAATAATTGCTATGTTGATTAAGAAAAATAAAATGTATATAAGTATTTTTATATATTTACCGACAGAGGTGCAAAAATGGACATGCGCTTCTAGAGTTTTCATCGCCCTCTTATAACGCGTATCCCATACTCGGAGTGTCTTGTCATCAGAAGCACTGACGATAAACTTTCCACCTGGATGAAAAACTATTCCACGTACCCAGTTGTCATGTCCGAGAAGTGTGAAAAGACATACACCAGCACCAACATCCCAAACACGAATGGTCTTGTCACGAGAACCAGACGCAAGGAAGGGACCTTCATGAGCTCCTTTATTGTCTGCTCCTGCTGCTGCATTAATTGATGCTCTTGCACTTTCTGGTGCCCATGCGATACATTCAACGACGTGGTCGTGGTCTCTGAGTTCAATCTTTGTCAAGAAAATGTTGTAATATTTTTAAAAGAAAATTAATCAGGTGAAAATTATTTATTAATATAAATATATGTACCTTTGTTTCTTTCGTTGCTATATGCCACACTCTCACAGTTTGGTCGTTTGAGCAACTGGCAATGAGTTCACCACAAGGACTAACTCGTGCCATTCTCACCCATTCTCTATGACCTGTTAATGTTTTTACGCAATAACCCGTTGCTACCTCCCACATCTTGATCGTCTTGTCCCTAGAGGCGCTTACTACAAAATCACCTTGTGGAACAAATGCTACAGAGCTTACATTATGATCATGACCTTGCATTGTTTTGACACATGCAAATGATTGATGAAAATCCCACAATTTAATGGACATATCCGCGCTGCAGGAAACTAATAGTTTTCCCGAGACGTCAAACGAAATATCCTGCACACTGTCAGTATGGCCTTTCAATGTTCTTTCAAATTCTCCACTTTCAAAATCCCATACCTTGAATAAACAAATTATATACATATATATATATATATATATATATATATATATACATTATAACTTGTTTCAAAGTTTACTTTTCTTCTTTTTTCAAAAAAACATAATATTTACCTTTATAGTGGCATCTTCACTAGCAGATACTATAAGACTAAATACAGGATGGAAAATAACTCTATTAATTGGCGCTCTGTGTCCGCTAAGACAAAATTTCTCTGGTGGCCTAGGTATCCACTCGGATGGTGATCTTTTACCTCGCGTTGGCGCACCTTCGATGAATTCTTTTTCTGCTTCTGAAAGCTTCGATTCTAATTCCATTACCTACAAATATAAATAATAATTAATGAAAGTTATATGATCATATCAAAACCATATCTACTTAGATTGATTCTCTTTGTCAAATGGATACAAAAATACAATAAATTACCTTTTTCTGTAATCGTATGACTGATGTCCATTTCTTCTCGAGGAGACCTCCATATTTCCTTTCAACTTCTCCCGGCATATCGGCTTCCTTTTTGAATGCTTCCAGTGCGTCTTGATAGCCATTGGTGCTAAGGTAATCCGCGATCGCCTTATTTCTACGATAAAAAAAAAAACAATGAGTTTTAACTTATTCTATTTAGTTTGATAACGGTAAAATAGTAACGTTATATTCCAACATTTCAACAAATAAAATTATCATGAAATGTTCACATACAACATGTCAACTTTTTACATATATGTATATATATATATATCGGTAGAAAAGCCATTTATACGTTGTCGTCGTCGTCGTCAATGGTTAATGCTAACGTTTGTGAACACAATGGAAACTTGCAGGTTGAATATATGTGGGAAAGGGATTGAAAGTCAGACGTAGCTGGTGTAGGGTGAAAGACCTTAAGTCGGTTACATTCGTCTCTATTCACCTGTATTACAACTACCAATGTGCTACTTTGTATATGTACATACATACATTATCATCTGTTTTTTTCCGTTTTCTACATATGTATACGCATCCTCTTTAGGTGCGCTATGAAATGTTTGAAGATAGAGAGAAACATGTATGTATATGTATATATATATATATATATATACATACTAAATATGTCAGCGTTAAATTGTATAATTCAGTTTAATCTTTAATCTAATCTCTACAAATAGAATTTCAATTTCATACCCTAACTACTTATCTTTTGTAAATTCATATATTATTTAATTGTAATATTTAACAAGTCAATAACAACTATTATATCATTGAATTTTCTAAGGACTGTATAATAAAAACAGATAACTTTCAAGAGAGAGAGACAGAGAAGGAGAGATTAGGATAATCGTTTTTATAAAAAAATCTGACGTCATGTAATGTCTCTATGCAAGAGTAGGAAAGAAAACATATACGTATCTATTTATTCAAATTTTATCTTGCAGATTTTCAAGATTTGTTAAAATAAATCTTCTCCTTCATTAATAAAGAGAAATAGAAGGAGAGAAGTGTTTGGGCTAAAAAAAGAAAAGAACATGAGTGTAACGAGCGACGTGGACTAGGCGAATCGATGCACAAGTTCTCCTTTTCTGACTCATTTTAATTTCTCGTCCCCCGACTAGTTTTTCTCTTTCTCTCTCTTTCTCTTCATCCCCTATGTACGTGTCTCAGTTTCTCGTTCGTCCTGTTAACTCTCTTCGAGCTACGCCGACTCATTTCGCACAGTTATCGATCGCAAACTCTGCGCGTGCTCGGGAAACCATTCCCTTACCAACTTTATCCACTTCGCCCTCACTCATCCCCCATCCAGTTACCCCCTCTTTAATATTTTTCCTTCCAATTCACTACCCTACGGTTATTCTTCTAGTATGGATCTACGATTAATTTGACGTCATCGGAAATAGTCTTTCAGCTATCGATTTCCCTGATCGAAATTAAAGATGAAGGTTACGCGGACTTTGTGACCAATCGGTCATCAAAGGACAGAACAACCCTTTACAATTATATTGACGTTATTTAAGGTAATGGTTATATACATTTAGAAATGAATATAAGTATGACTCAAGTATTATTAGATGTACAACTTCGATTCCATTTTTCTTTTATACTATATTCGGTCTTTGATAAAAGTTATATTTTTGACAATTGCATGGAAATAATAATCAATTTGGTACTAGCTAAGATAATAAATAAAATAATTTTAATTTTTGTAAAGTCATAAAGAAGAAAAATAATAACATTGAATGCAACATTTAAAATCGATCATTCGACCAGTTCTAGTAATACGTTTTATATTAAATGAAATTTTGTCTGGATTCGAGCTAGAATTATCTGTCTTTCTTGATCTCTTTTTAACGCAAGCGTAGACCTGTACTAGGGGGTTAAAAAGAGGGAGAGTACGGTCTCGTTTTCCTTCTCTTTCGTGGTTGCAGGTTTCCTCGATTGATCCAGGCCACCGTCTGCACGCACTCGCGTGCAACCACCCCCACTCTTCATCCCTGTGTGTGTCTCTCTCTCTCTTTTTTTTTCTTTCCTTCCTCTTCTCATCTAACTGCATAGACAGAATGAACTAGAGGGAGAAAGAGATATATGGGACGGTGGCAGCAGGAAAGACGGAAGGAGACGAGAAACTACACCAACTTGACTACTTCAGAGAAAGCCATTGTTCTCTCTTAAAAACAACAGCCTGAAATACTGCACCGGTGCGAAGCCCTGTCCTAACACCAACTTGAAAAATCTCCTAAGAGACTAAAGTATTAGGGCTGGTAATAGTACTCTTGAATAATTCAATAATCAATTATTTTATAGGGACTCGAACGTTGTAATGGACTTTGATCCTAACCTTTCATTGTATAATTCAATTTTCAAACTTTAATATAACATACAACTTAAATAAATCGTTTTCAATTAGATAAAATTAAAGTTGATGATTAGAGATGAGAACAGAAGAGTGAAGATGATGATGATGATGATGATGATGATGATGATGATAATAATAATAATAAAAAAAACTTACAACTCCTCCCTCTGACGTTGAGACAGCACCATTTTCATGATCCTTAGATTGTTTGTTGCCTCTTACTGGATTTTTCGATAATAATTCGATTGAGCACGACTAGATTCTCCAGTCAGCTCTCGTTTTGTTCAGTACCCTGCCTTCAGCATTGCCTGTAATACAGAACAAAAATACATTGATTAATGTAACGTTCAAAGAACTGAGAAAGATAATTGAAAAAACAGAAAAGGAATGTGATTTGAAGATTAAAATATTATATATGATATTGTTTTCTTCTTTTTGATAAAGTCAAGAGAAAAGGAGGAAAAAAAAACTTGAGTGAAATATAAAGTTGGTCTCCTTTGGAAATATGTATATTCCGGTCAATGCAAAAAGAAAGTACTAGTTATCGCGTCATCGGCATGAACACAACGATCGATTTAAATGAGGTCGAAATACTTTTCTTCGCGGAAGGTACGAAGAAGGTACGAAAGTGAAAGGGGGCGGTTAATAAATGGAGTAACGACCATATAAGAAGGTTCATAAGAGAGATAAAGAGAAAACAACAGATTATGTTCTAACATAAGACATATTGAAAAAAACGTAAGATAATATCAATAAAGGCTAACGTTAATTGTAGGTATTTACCCGACGTTAATGTGTCGATATACAAATAATTATTTACATAATTATTCGCGCATTTACATAAAAAGTCGCGCCATTGAAAATAATACTTAGAAGTACAATATGAATATTAATTATGCGAAAAATATTTAGGTTAACTACTTTGCGCATTTATTATTACCTATATTAACTCATGACATTGGAATTCCTTTGATAAACTGGACAGATCGTATGAATTATAATATCGTTTCGCAATGACCACTTTGTCCCTGTCCCGTAAGCAAATGAATAAAAAAAAAAAGAACTAGAAATATGGAAAGAGAAAAAACGAGAGAGAGAGAGAGAGAGAGAGAAAAAGAGAAGTGTAGGTGAAAAATGCATTTAATCGTTTGGATTTCTAGTATTCCCTTCTTTGATCTCAGAATGAAGTTATACACCTGTGGTCGCCATTGCATTTTCGAGGAAACTGGTATATAACATGATCCTGACACGAATAGAAAAGCAGGTTGGCTTGCAGGAGGAAGAAGGGAAGAATGTGGCAGTGACCTTGCTCATATTATTTCGGCTTACTTTTAAATTCTACAAATACATAGGAAGTCATTTTCATCAGAAATCAAATATGTTTGTAAGATTACATATTATGTAATACGTAGCAATGAAAAATTGTGATATAAGATAAATAAATACCAATCAATATCCTATTTGATGACTGAAACATTTTCTCAAAAATATTGTAATTTGACTTTTAATTATTTTAGTAATTTTTAGTAAAATATTTTAGTAATTTTTTTCAAAAAGAAAAAAAAATGAAAGAAAGAAATATAGAATATCCTTAGTAGCATAAAATATTGAAAAATATTGAATACATGTGTATTTAATATATTTTTCAATATTTTGCGCTACAAGGGATTTTTAAAAATGTCGGCAAGTAAAGAAAAAAAAAAAAAAGAAATAAAAGGAAATAATAATAAGTAGGGTATATTTATATATAGAAAAAGGTAATTGCGTCTTAGAAAGGGAAAAGAATAAGTGAAAGGACCTTGACAATCAACCAAGGGGATGCGAGTTAGGAGAGGTGCGTCTAGGTGCCTGCCTTCATTATTGGGTGTCGCGACATTTGAACGACGCCGTCGCAGTCGCAGCTGCCAACAACTATGGTAGCTATGACTATGACTACGATTTTACGACACAATGACAACAGGACGACGATGACTACGGCGACGACGACGACGCCCAATCGATACACCACTTCCCATAGTCCACCTACACCCTTCTTTCTCTCTTCTACCCCCAATGTGTATATTTCACTTCCCCTTCAAATATTCATATCGTTCTCTTTCCAACTTCTCGATCGGACACGAACTAATGCGAAAGAGGTCATGATCGACATTACCAATTTTATGATTTATTTTTGTTTTTTTTTTTAAGATAAGAAAAAAGCCTAATTGATTATTTTATATTTATAGTACTTTATATATCGATAAAGGAATAACATTGTCATCATGTATAGGACATGTTTATGAAAACAAATCTTCTAGATACTAAATAGAAAAATCATGTATTCAATTTAATACCATTTATACTTATTCATTAATAAAATACACTACTACGTGAATAAGTATACATTTTGTATGTATTATTTATACAAATTTCGAAGGATATTAAATAAAATGAAAAATTGCACGAACTTTTACAATTCTTTCTCTCTCTCTCTCTATTTTTTTTTTTTATTTGAAATAAACAGAATTTTATCAATGAAAAATAAGATAAATAATATCGAAGAAACTCGAAGAGACAAATTTCACACGAGTTTGTACGGGACTTTATTCTGCGAGAGAATATTCTTCCGCATTCCAACACTAACGCATTACATATATATATGTATATATATATATACTTTTCTTTCGAAATAAGAAATGTTTTTGATTTAATATTAATTTAAGAATAAACATATATATTACTTTTACTAATCGAACAAATGTAATAATTTTTGAAGTGACTGTATTAATAAAGAATACACACCACACACATATATGTGATATTAATATTGACAGTTTTTTAGTTCTCTTTCTATTTTTCTATTTATCCATATTTATTTAGTTATACACCTGTTATTTATTTGAAAAGGTTACAAAAATCTGTTAAGCAAAACACGGAATCGTTTTCTTCCTTCGTAAAAGAGCTCAATGCTCGTACTTCCGGGATCTTCGAAGGTGAGAGAGGAGGAGGCTTTGCCCTTTTCCGATCTCGCATACACATACACACTTATTCGTACTTGTTGGCTTCATTTTCTTATTTCAATTCTATATATTTTAAATATTATGTATATCACTGAAATATATTTTGTCAATAATAATAAATTATTTATTTGAATTTTGTTTTATATAAACATAATATAATTTTGAACAATAATAATATATTAAAAAAGAAATATAAACGATCACACATTGATAAAGAAAGTTGTGACTGGTGGAAAAAATGTTCACTTGAGGAATATCTTAAATCCAGCCGATCAATAAACCCACAGGAACGTTGATATATGTGTATGTGTGTGTATGTGCGTTATATATACACCAAGAGACGTAATATAAATTAAAAATTAATCGAGTAAAAAAAAAAAAGAAAATCAAGAATTTCTAATCGATCGACACATGTTTATCCTATTTTTAATATATTTGTTTAGACAACACAAAACATAACCTAAATAACAACAAACTTTTACACGTTTTCTTATCGATAAAAATATGATGGAGGATGACAATGCTCCCTTGTGCAGATTATTTTTTCTGATCATCTGTAATCGAGATTTATGATTGATACAATCTTTGTATCATTTTTCAACATGTCAAAAATAAATGTGTGTGTATACATTTAAGTATGTAATACTTGTAGTAATCGAACAAATCACGAATTCGTTGTTTGCAGAGCATCGACACCAACATAATCGATCGTCCTTGATAATAGAAAGATAATTATTACAATAAACACACTAAGAAAAAATCAAAGAGAGAGAGAGAGAGAGAGAGAGATGAATACATACATCAAATGATCAAAAATTCGCAATAACTTTTATGTCAGCGATGACGTAGAGAAAAAAAGACAACACTTCGCGTGAACGCTAATGGTGATGATATATGAAACCACGATTTTTATATGGAAAATGTATTTAAGCGTTTTTTTTTTCTTTCTCTTTCTCTCAAAACGAAACACTTTTTTGACACAAATTGCGAATAAAATATTTTTACGAATTATTTTATCTTTTTTTTTTTGTTTTTACTAAACTTATTACTTTTAACAATATTACCGTATCACAATTACAATAATTAAATAAGTTTTTAAATTAAACGATGCGATTGATTAACAGCTGATCGAAGAAAGAATTAAAGAATGAAGAGAAAGAGAGAGAGAGAGAGAGAGAGAGAGAGAGAGAGAGATAAAGATAAAATAGAGCCGAAGAAGACAGGGCTGTCAAAAATTGGCGGTTTTTAACAGAAACCTATCTGATAAAACGATGTATTTGTTAGAACAAAGAATTAGATGGAATAAACGACACGTGCTTGAGATGCAACTTGGAAACACAAGTACAAAGGTTCTTATCGACTTCCTCGTCGAAAGACGAGTCCATATCGTCACACTACGCAAGCGGTCGTTCGCAAAAAAATCAATTCGGAGTGACGTACAACGTGTATTGGTTACTTTGTCAGGCGATTCGAATGCATTAAGCTGTGTTAAATAAACATACCAGCTTTATAATCGTTCGTTCAAGATGATATTGTGACACGTCAAAATATGAGACCGTTTTGAACCGTTCGTAAGAAACAACCGTTTGTTGTAAATCGTGAACGGCCATTTTGCCAGGACCCGTCACACGTCTCTTCGTGCTCTTCTCACTCTATCACCTTCTATCTCTATCTCTCACTCTCTCACTATCTAACTCTAACTCTAACTCTATAACTCTAACTCTCTTTCTCTCTCTCTCACTCTCTCTCTCTCTCTCTTGCACATATATACAACATACACTCTCCTTCTCTGTAACGTTTTCCCTCTCCACCTCTTTCTCATTCTTTCTTTCTCTCTCTCTCTCTCTTTCTCTCTATCTGTCCCGCTCGTATTTTGTGAAATCGTCTGTAGCATCTATATCACCGTCCATTAGAAATATGTGAGTAACGAGTCGTAGGTACTCACGTATTTTTCCAGGGTGTTGTATTAACGTTGGGATCCCTTAGATTCGAAAAATTCGTGTGAAAACCCGGGCGAGCACGACCATTGAAAAACCCTTCGAGATCACTTCTGCGATCGGACTAGCCGCAAGGTGGCGCCTTGAAAGATTTCGCTCGGTCACGCATGCTCCTTGCCGCCGCGAGGTCACGTGACACAACGACCTGCCCATTCCTTCACGATCTTTCTCGATGTTAGGCGATGATAGCCGACCTTCAGTAAAGCTTACCACTCATGCTTTTTACTATTATTTACATCAATAATAAATATTTGTATTTATATTATGTTCAATGTGTCGGTAATGAAGTTTTTTTATCTCAGTATGTAGCATCCGTCGGTAATGAGATTTTCGCAACTTGAATTCTCATGCGTCGGTAATGTAGTTTCCAGCTATTACAATTTTTCATGCGTCGATAATAAAATTTTTGCAGATTTCAATGTTACTTGCAATGAAATTTTTGATGTTATATTTTATATATTCATTCGGTACATAAAATGTATAATTTTACGTAAATTTATATTTTTTTAGATTATAATTTTTACTCTCTCTCTCTATTTTAATTGGAATTAATTTTTAACAAATAAAATAAAAGATAGATATATAATATACGTGTTGATAAAAATATTCTAGTTTACGTTTCTTCAAAATTATACTATAGATACCAAGTGTATTATAATTTATAATATAGATCATATAATATAGTAATATTTTAAGCCTACATTATTTTATAAAATTCTAAATTGATAAGAAATTAGTTGTAAAAAAAAATTTATCGATCCTGCCAGGATTCGAACCTGGAATCTTCTGATCCGTAGTCAGACGCGTTATCCGTTGCGCCACAGGACCGGGTTGCGTGGTTAATTACTTTTTTTATTATTATACATTTTTCAAATTATCATAAAATTATTATTTTATTTTATTGTATATATATATATTGTTGAAAATAAAAATTATTTTTATATTTAACAAAATACTAATGTTTTCTTCAAATTAGTACTCACCAAACAATAAAATATCCATATAATATTATTCTACATATATAAATATCTTCCTATTGTGAATTATCAACTATACTGCTGTGTATGTTTATACTCATATTATATTTCATAAGCTGCATTTATATTATGTTTAAATAATGTACTCATTGTTATATTATTATTATTTAGAAACAATATTATTTCATTGTCAATATTGTGAACTGCTAACTTCATCCCCCAACTGTTAAATACAAAATATACTTTGTTGTTCATACTTCTTCAACAAAAATTTTATATTTAAAGATAAAAAATATAACGATAAATTTTTTATTTCAATCAACAGATGTGTAACACACATATATTATTTTAATTTCTTGTAAACATTGCAAAATATTGATAAGAACTTTATACAAATTAACAAAGAAGAAATAATATTATTAAAATTGATTAATATTGTACACTATCGTCCTGTAATTTTTTATGATCGTATTGTTATCGTTTCAAAACATATACAAAATGTATTTGCCTAATATTAAATTTTGTAAAAAAATATTTATAAATATGAAATAGTCAGAGTTATCAGCAACGTAGTATTTTCAGATAAAGACTTCTTCCTGCCAGTACAAGTAATGTGTTTGCTGCATATCTATTTTTCATTCCAGAACGATGACTCACACCTATGGTAGGGGAAAATATAAAAACCGCAGTATCTATAGAACGTCGACGTACATTGGTTGGGATGTAAGACCACTTTTACTATTCGGGCCTTATAATTTCAAAAAAATTTCATTTTATGTAGTGTACAAAGTTTTCTTGTGTATTAAATATTAAGACAAAAATATTATGAAATGATGAGCATATTATTTCATCATTCACATTTCAAGATTTAATTTCCTTAATGAAATATGAAAATTTAATCTTCAATAGAATTGTATATTACATTTTCCGACATTGTGATACAAGAAGTTCGGCCGCCATGACAGTTTAGACTACTTTTTAAGTTTCATATATCTTGTGTGTGATACAATATAAATTTATATAATATAATGACATAATTATTAACTTTCGTGAAAATATATTATAAATATAAAGAAAAATATGACTTTTCAAGTATATAATTATTCAATATTCTACAATAATCAATGATTTTAGCTCGAAAGATTAAATTCATCGTTAGTGCAGCTCAAAATCAGATTATATATAATTTCATCACATTCGTATAACTACGGTAGGTAATTAAATTGTAATTTATTGTTAAAGTATTATTTTTACATTATTTTCTACTTAGTGAATGAGATAAGATTCAAAATAAAGTAAATATATACATTATATATTTCCAAGTAAAAAAAGGGAGGTAAGAAAAAATCTACTTGTATTTTTTTAATTTTTTTTTTTTTTAGAGTACTTTTTTGTAATAAAAAATTTCGATTTATATCAAAAATCTAAGTATTTTAAAATATATTTGTTCTCTTAAATTGGAAATTACACGAAGAAAAGGAAAATAAATGAAATGTATACGACGTTACCACAATGAATGATAATGTAGACATAATGACAGGGATTCCCTTATGTTATTTACCATAGTTATAATTATGCAGTTATATATTTGTTTACATATGTAGCTATATCACTGAAGATGGCGCAAGGGTTCAACAAGCAGTTTTGCACCGGTAAAGATTCAATGAAATACTTACGAAGAAGATCGAAACGCGCTGATACAAACATTAAACAAGTCAAATCTTTCGATACGTCGATGGTAAAAAGTAAAGAAGATTTTATGAATATAATAGGACTCGGAATGAAAGGGTCATTGAAAAAAGATAATGTTAAAGAAAATAATAACGTGATTGTTATGAAGAAAATTAAAATAAGTCCATTGACTATGTTAAATCTAAAAAAATGCAGTGTAGTTATTGTTGCTGAAAGGTGTTCAATTTGTAAATTACCATTTAAATGTATAAGTGATGTTGTGTTTCACAAAATTATGAGACACGGAAATGATCCTGTTGTAAACGATAGTTTTTTATCAAATCTCTTTACGAAGAAACAGTGTTTCAACATTCGAAGAAAAAGATTGCAAAATACTAACAACAACAATAATCTGTTTCGTCTTAAATTAAGAATTGGCGAAGAGATTATTTCAGAAATTAGTATGAATCGTAAACACTTGAAAGTTCCAAATTCTTCTTCCTTTTTGCCAAAAATAAAGGCTGTTAAGAGTCAAAAAAATGATGATTCTATTACGTTTAAAAATGATTCTAAAAGTAATATCGTTGGTATTGATTCTTTTGACTCGACTAGGAATCATTATAAGGACTATGTTGTAGACGTTCAACCCTTCCATCGTATACAAACGTTCTATGATTCCCCATTAAATGAAGACTGTCGACAGAATGATTGTAGAAATCGTTCAAAACTTTCTTTAGATGTTAAAAATAAGAATTTAACATTTAGTAATAATGAGACTGTATTTTCCACGAAATTATCCTGTGTGCGTTCTTTATCCGAAGATAATATAATAAATAATAATAATAATTCTAATATATCAAATAATATCGCTACATTTGATAAAGAAAATACTTTGAACAAAATACAATCAGTTAAAAGAGTTTGTAACGTTAATCCATCTTTAGAAGCTACTGAAATGCATTTAACTTCGTGTACAGAAAATGAGAACAAAAATAAGAAAGATGATAATGATGATGATGAAGAAATACAGGAGATACTTCGTATTACGAGAAGAAGACGGACAAATAATAACAACGAGAATATCAGATACAGGTTGGATCCTCCTATAAATGAAGATTCATTGTTATTTGATCCAGAGGATGAATTAACTATCATGAGAGAGAAGAGATACCATACTATGATATACTATCACAATTCTTTTCGTCATTTGATTCCATAACAACTGAATTATTTGAGTCTGGCAGTAGTATTGAACTTGGGTTCAGTAAAGGCGTCAGAAATAGAACAAATTTAGCTTTAAAAGTCTATTATCATTTTTGTATTATAAATTGATGTAGCGTTTATTTGTAATGTAATATATACGGAACATATATTTATTAATTTTTCATAAAGATATTATAATTTTTCGTTATTATCGTATTTTATATATGTCCAAAGTAAAAATGAGTAAATAATATTACATTTTATGTTGTATATATTTAACCAGTTAAGTGTAGCGATCTGTGCGCAGAGTGCGCTCTGGTGTGTGTCGCGATAATCAAGCGATGACGGTTATAGTCGTCAAACACAGAGTAAGTGGTGGCGCTGTTAAAATATTGGATAGTCAAAAAGACGACTTATTTTAGAAAATGAACAATTTTGTTAGTAATGTATACACAGTTTTTTAATATGAACATATAATTATACATAATAAACGGAAAAATTAGAGAAAAAATCGAATATTTATACTTAGAAGTATAAAATTTGTTCTCGACTTTTTTTTTTTGACCTTTAAACATTTTAAATATATTAAAATTTACGAATATAATTTAGTTTTCGCCAAAATTACAATTTAAACATCAAATTGTAACAAACTTTTACGCATGACGGATATAGACGTCGTAACACAAAATTTTGCCACATCTCCATGACGGATATAATCGTCAAACACGTTTAACTGGTTAATCAACGATTATAATTTACTCTATTAAATCAATATACATTTGTGAACAAAAATATGCATTGACAAATCTTTTATTAAAATTTATATTGGATTACGTAGTATATTATATAATAGAAAAAAAAATAATTAAAAAATTAATTAAAAAAAAAATTACATTTGTAAACACTATTTATAATAAAATAACTTTTATAAAACTGAAACTACTTTAAATTTACTTTAATACCACAACTGAGCTCACAATTGTTTGCGTTAAAATTGAATGAAGAAAGACCAGTTTTTTTTAAATGTGAACCATCCATCCTAAGGCACGCTAAGAGATTAAACCTGTTATTTCACACAATATCCGGTTAAAATACAAAAATATTTGATTATAATACGATCATGATTTATTTTTGGACGACGTACACATTCTTCAAGCAACAATAAAAAATGAGTAATAAATTTATCAGTGACAACAAAAACAACAACAACAACAGCAACAAAAAGTACTTGGATCACCTAATTAGAAATACATTTCATTATTTATTGATTTTTTGTTCCTTTAATCATCATCATAATCGAAATATGTTTTTTTTCTCTTCATTTCTTCCAAGACTTGAAAACAATTTTCAATAACGTTCGATATATTATCTTCATTTTTTCTTTCCAAAATAAGTTCCAACGAGCCATATAAATTCTCTAATCGATTACTTTTCCAATTTTCGGTTGATTGGATGATCCTTTGAAGTAATTCTTGTAGCTGAAGATCTGCAATATTTTCGGTACTTGAAATATTAGACGACGTGCATGACATCTTGGCACGTTTTGATCCTGGTCCTTCTCCTGAGGCACTACATTCTCGTTTAACATTGACTAATAATAAAAATAAATTAGAAAAATTATTATATAAATATAAAATAAAAATAAAGAAATTTATTTTGTTCACTTGATTTGGTAGCCGATTGGGTAGATCGAACAGCGCCAAGTTTACTTCGAACTTTTGATCTTTTTGTCGTAGTTCCGTCCATTGCGTTTTCTATCATCAACATAATTTTGCTTATTAATTCCTTACAACATTTAAAAAGAAACAAATATTATAAATAATGTTAATAAATTCTCTTACGACGTCCACGTGGTCCATTTGAATCCTTGTGCGCGTCCATCTTGGATTTTTTTCCATTTTCATTTTTCGTTCTTTTTGGACCCATAATTTGTATAAAATCTATCATATTAAAGAAAAAATAATTTTAATAAATACCAAAATATGTCAGAATAACGAAATATAATAAAATATACCTTGCGAGGATCTGCTAGAAGCAGCATCCGATGATGAGTTTGAAAAAAGTTGTAAGAAGAATGATTTACGTTCTTGCAAACCAGGTAATGGTACTTCAAATACCTCATCACGACTTCGATCGAATGAATTTTTGATCTAAAACAAATTCAAAATTATTCGAAATTCATTGAAATAAAATTAAATATTACAAATTATTATAATCAATAAATAATATCATCGTAATCTTATAATATTACATACTTCTGAAGGTAAATCCTCGTAAGCAGAATTAGCTGTTGTAAGGATCAACATGTAAACTGTATTGTCAAGATCTCTCATCAGGGAAGCAAAAACTACGCGTGCTGTTTCGTCAACTAAATTCCACCATGCAAGAATATCAGGAATATATAACAATGATGGTAAAGTACGACGTGCTCCTTTCACTTTCTATTGCAAACAAAAAAATATATTTATGTAAATAAATGATAAAGAAAAAGATAAACAACAAATAATTAATCAAAAATTACCTGAATGATCGTTTCTTCAGCAGCTCTACCAGTTTCTTCGAAAAGAGTTGTCACGTCTAAAACGTGACAGGGTAAATGATCTAAATCGTGAAGCAAAGCTGGACCTAAATGTCGAGTATGTGAATCATCTTCACCGCATAATAAAAGTCTAGGACAGGTGGTTGATTTCGAATTGGCTTTGCCGATACTGCACGGAATAAGGAAAAAAAAGAAAGGGAAACAATGTAAAAATGATAATTAATGTTACAACAATTCAACTTACATTTCATCTGACGTCAACATTCCTGTTGGACAAAGAATTTGTAACTGGGATTGAATGCTTGATAAATTGCCTCTTAAAAGTGGTTGAATTTTCATTGACAAAGATTTCACTGGTGCTATGACGACTCTGTGAGATGCTGGAACAATATTTTCTTGGGCCTTCAGAAAATCTTGTTTCTCAACCTTCATTCGTTCATTGATTTTGTTTTTAAAAACATTAGACATATTCATAATTTTCGAAACAAATAGAATAAACATTTTGAGCATATTACCTTGAGGTGTCGCTCGTTTATGTAATGTCTTGATTTCAATGTATAAATTTCTGGATAATGTCTTCTAACGCAACACATGACAGCTTCAGCACAGAGAGCTTGCAAATCGCTACCACAATATCCTATCGTTTTCGAGGCCAAATAAGCGAGAAATTTTTGAGGAGGTTTCTGCTTCCAACTTTTAATGTGAACCTACACACAGTACCATTGACATATTATTTACAAGATACAAAAATAATTAAATCAAGTGTCAAACTACCGAAAGTATGTCTTTCCTAGCAGAGTAACAAGGTAAAGGAAAGTAAAGTTCACGATCGAATCTTCCTGGTCTTCTTAAGGCCGGATCAATTGCATCGATTCTGTTAGTAGCACCAATCACTATAATTTCTGAATTATTCTCCAAGCCGTCCATTAAAGCCAAAAGTGTAGTCACCACACTGGCATGTACGAAATCCTGACGACTTGATCTTATCGGTGCTAGACCGTCAACTTCATCGAAAAAAATAATACAAGGTTTCGTTTGTTGAGCCTGTAACGAGTTTGATTATTCAATTGATTTGATCAATTCATAATAATAATGATAATAATAACGTACTAACCATAGTGAAAATTTTCTCGAGCTTTTTTTCACTTTCACCAACCCACTTGCTCAAACAATCTGATCCTTTGCGTGATATGAAGGAGACCTTGCGTTCAGACGTACTACATTCTGATGCCAATGCACTGGCTACCAAAGTTTTGCCAGTTCCTGTTGACGAATGAAAATCGATGAAACTAGCCTGTTAATTTAATTCGTATCGTATTTTATTCGATTATTTTTGTTGCAATAAAATGTCATTGAAATTATACCTGGGGGACCATAGAACAAAAGACCCCTTGGTGGTTTTAAATTAAACTTGGCATAAACATCACCGTACATTAATGGAAACAGGACCATTTCTTTTACTATTCTAATATGTTTATCCAAACCACCGATATTTGTAAAATCTTTTTTAACCGACATATTTGAAAAAATTTATAAGCTCGTGTGTCAAATTGAAACTTCGTCTTTTCACTTTCTCATATGAGAATAAAAAAAATCGTATTTTTGTATTAATTATTATCACTATTATTATTATTAGATACAAGTGTAAATTACACGAATAAAAATATCGTCTCAGGAACGGTTTATTTTAAAATATATATATACATCGTGATTAATATATATATATATATGTATATGTATATATGTATATATATATATATACGTGTTCGAACGATCACTTTTACTAGAATTTATATCATTGTAATTTGTTACGATCGAATTTTTATCGTTGACATTATGACGTTTCAAAGGTTAAATCGATTAGAGAGACATACGAATGTATAGAAGGGATTTTACATGAACGAAAAAAGAAATTTACAAATAAACAAAAGAACTGTAAGAAAAAGAGAATAGGGGGGGAATGATCAGAGATAAGAGAAAGAATCCGATGCAATGTGTTACGAAACTTAGCTTTATTAATTTAATGTTTCTTTTTTTTTTTTGTAATCTTTTTTTTAATTTTTTCATTTTTTTTTTTATTATTATTATTATTATTATTATTATTATAATTGTTTTGCTTACTACAGCGTATATAATATGACAATAAAATGTTTTACTTATATAGTAAAATACATAATAAGGCAGTGGATGTTGTTCTTGCATCGACACTTTCCCTGTCATTCTTTGAGTAATCTGTCAAGACGATACAATATGGTATCGGTTTGCAAATTTATATATATATACGTCTTATTAATTTATTACACGACATTTCTTAAACATATTCGTCAATTCGCATAAATATTTATGTAGTAATATTTTTTACACAAGGAAGTTGATCACAATGTCTTCTTACCAAGTTAAGAAATCTATTTTAGTCATTAGTTAGAAACCATAAGCTCGATTTAATTTAATTAAAAGGCAGTGTCAACCACAAATATTACTTTCTCTCTCATTCTACACGACGTGATTTGTTTGTTCTTTTTCTTTGTTGGTTTATTTAGTGTTTCTTTTTTTTTTTTTATTATTATTATTTTGTTTGTTGTAATAAATGTATTTCTTTCCTTTTCATTAGTTCCCTTTTACTCATTCTTCAAATGATTTCCTTTTTTTTTTTTTCTGCAACATTTATGGCGATACAGAGATGATAGAATTTAACGAGACTATGTAGCACCATAATAAAAATAATATAGTAATAATTTTCGACTTTTTTTGTTATTATTATTATTATTATTATTATTATTATTATTATTATTATTATTATTATTATTATTATTATTCTATTGTTTATATAAAAACATATCGTTGATTGAGAAAGTTTTACTATCGAAACATTCATTTCGTAAATATGATCATTCACTGTAAATTACAGTTTATTAGAGTTTCGGAAAGTAAATATTTATATATAATTATTGTTCATAAAAATAAAGAAATAGTTTATGTTTCGAAATAAATTTTGTCTAAACTAAACAAAGTGGATTATTATAAAAAAAAAGTTCGTTTTATATATTATATATTATATATAAATTAATATATTCATTAT